TGCATGCATGCATGCATGCATGCATGTATGCATGCATGTAAAAAGCCCCAATGCGTGCATGCATGCAGTTGCATGCTCCTGCTGTGTTTGGTGGATCGGGTGACCTGAATCCGTTGCTGTTGCTGCTCATGCTGTTGCTGCTGGTGCTCATGCTGTTGCTGCTGCTGCTGCTTCTGCTGCTGCTGCTGCTGCTGCTGCTGCTGCTGCTGCAGGCGTACAGTGGTTTGTTCAATAGAGCTAGCGGTTTGTATAACGATCGAGAGGAGGCGAGAGAAAGAAGAAAGAAAGCAGAAGAAGAAGAAAAAGCAAAAAAGAAAGCTGCGTGGGTTAAGGAGATGGCAGAAAGAAAGGGTACGCTGCTGCTGCTGTTGCTGCTGCTGCTGCTGCTGCTGCTGTTGCTGCTGCTGCTGCTGCTGCTGTTGTTGCTGCTGCTGTTGCTGCTGTTGTTGCTGCTGTTGTTGCTGCTGCTGCTGCTGTTTTTGCGGCAGCAGCAGCAGGCATTGCCGATGCGACTATCTTTTGGTTTATTGATGTGCTGTTTTTTTTGTTGTTTTCTTTTTCTGTCTCCTTCTGTCCCTCTATCTCCTTTTGTCTCCTTTTTTGTCTCCTCATCTGTCTCTTCTTCTCTTTCTCTTGCTTGCATCCTGGTTTATATTGCTGCTGCTGCTGCTGCTGCTGCTGCTGCTGCTGCAGCTGTGTGCTGCCATGGGTGTTGAGCCCTTGCAAAGGCCTTCTAGGGTCTAGTGTTTAGGGTCTAGGGTTTAGGGTTTAGGGTTTAGGGTTTAGGGTTTAGGGTTTGGGTGCAGAGCGGGGCGAGGAAGAGGAGCCGTTTGACGTGTGGCTGGAGAAGAAGACAGAAGCAGAAGAAAAAGAAAAAGAAGAAAAACAAAAGAGACAGGCCAGTACGTAGACAACTGTCTCCTACTGTCTCCTTTTGTCTCCGAGCTGTCTCCTTTTGTCTCCTTTTGTCTCCTTTTGTCTCCTTTTGTCTCTTTTTGTCTCCTTTTGTCTCCTTTTGTCTCCGAGCTGTCTCCGAACTGTCTCCGAGCTGTCTCCGAGCTGTCTCCGAGCTGTCTCCTTTTGTTTCCCTTTGTCTACTTTCTGTCTCCTTTTGTTTCTTTCTTGTCTTTTTTTGTCTCTTTTTGTCTCCTTTTGTCTCCGTTGTGTCTCCTTTTGTCTCCTTTTGTCTCTTTCTGTCTCCTCCTGTCTGCTTCTCGTCTCCTTTCTGTGTTGTTGTGAGCTGTCTCCTTTTGTCTCCTTTTTGTTTCCTTTTTCTTCTATCTGTTTTATTGATTTGTTTTTTTTAATCTGCCTCATGCTGCAGCTGTCTCCTTTTGGGGTTTGTGGTGTCTCCTTTTGTTGCTGTGGCTGTCTCCTGTCTCCTTTTCTCCCGTCGCAGCCCCACCTGCTGCTGCTGTTGCTGCTGCTGCTGCTGCACCTGCTGCTGTCTCCTCCTGTTGTGTCTCTTCTGCTGTTGCTGCTGCAGAGGCTGAGGGTGCGCAGGGTGATGCGCAGCGACGCAAGGGCAAAGGAGACACTTCTAGCAGCAGCAGCAGCAGCAGCAGCAGCAGCAGCAGCAGCAGCAGCAGCAGCAGCAGCAGTGTGATGGAGATAGACGAGGAGGATGCAGAGATTATAAAGGAGACAAAGAAGATGGGGTATTGTTATTTCCGTCGGGACCTAACAGAAGAAGAAAAAAAACTAAACGCACAAAACAAACCAACAAAAATACTGTCTCCTTCGGCCTCCTCTCAGTCTCCTGAAGCAGACACCGAAAGAGTTCGTCTCGGGTGTATAGGCAGCTTTAGGGTCTAGGGTCTAGGGTTTAGGGTTTAGGGTTTAGGGTTTGGGGTTTGGGGTGGGGGCCTGCAAGGAGACAGTGGCAGTGCAGCTGTAAACCCTAAGCAACCCGAAAGCTGCTAAAGGACAGTTGATGCATCTGGATGCTGCTGTTGTTGCTGCTGCTGTTGCTGTTGCTGCTGCTGCTGCTGCTGCTGCTGTTGCTGCTGCAGTCGCCTGAGGGTAAGAGCATTTCCCAGTGGAATTCAAGGGGAACGACGTACGAGGAGAAAGGTAGGTTTTGCTGTTGCTGCTGCTGCTGCTGCTGCTGTTGCTGCTGCTACTGCTGTTGCTGCTGCTGCTTTCGCTGCTGCTGCTGCTTTCGCTGCTGCTGCTGCTGTTGGTGTTGCTGCTGCTGTTGCTGCTACTGGCTGAATGTGTCCTTGTAGGGTATCTGTTGCAGTATCTGCTGCTAATGCTGCTGCTGCTGCTGCTGCTGCTGCTGCTGCTGCTTGTGGCTCAGACGTTAGCCCTTGGGCGCGGACCCGCTTCGCCGAGCGGCTGCAGGAGGCCTGCTCTTCTTACGGCAGCCCAGACAACAGCGCTCCGGGGGCCCTTGAAGAGGTAATTAGGGTTTAGGGTCTAGGGTCTAGGGTCTAGGGTTTAGGGTTTACGTTCAAGGGTTTAGGGTTTAGGGTTTAGGTTTAAGGTGTAGGGGTTGGGTTGTTTAATATGTAGATTGATTCCTGCTGGACCTGTGTGATCACAGGTCCTGGGGGATTAGGGTTTAGGGTTTAGGGTTTAAGGGTTTAAGGGTTTAGGGTTTAGGGTTTAGGGTTTAGGGTTTAGGGTTTGGGGTGTATGTGCAGGTGTGCCGCAAGGCAGAGGCGGCGATGAAGGTCTCCCATTTAGTTGACGACGGGGGGAAGATGCACGACCTCCTCAAGAGCTGCTTCCACACCACAATCACGGTATCGCTGCTGCTGCTGCTGCTGCTGCTGCTGCTGCTGCTGCTGTTGCTGCTGCTGCTGCTGCTGCTGTTGCTGCTGCTGCTGCTGGTGTTTTGTGTGCTGCTGCAGCTGTTCCTGTTGCTGTGTGTGTATAAAATTCTTTCTCCAGCCACACACCACCCCCCCCGCACCCAAGCTTAATTTTCTAGGGTTTAGGGTTTAGGGTTTAGGGTTTAGGGTTTAGGGTTTGTGTACAGACAGTGGGTGTAGACGAGGTCACCGGGGACGCTCACCTGGCTGTGGTGCGGGGGAGCCGC